TTATTCCTGCTGCTGCTTCAGAAGATCAGACTTCAGAGGACAATGCAGACCCAGATGAACCTCCTCCCAGTACACCAGAAGAAGAAATATCTGTTATCCTCATCCCAGCAGAACCTGAAACAGAAGATCAGACAGAACCTGCAGAAGAGGAAACAGCACCAGAAGAGGATCCTGCTGTTATTGTTCCTGTAGACTCTGCTGAAGAGGAACAAGAGACAGCTGAAGAAGAGGAACCTCCAGAGGAAGAAGAAGAAGCATTGCTCCCCATAGAACTGGAAGAAAACGTTGAGGAAGACCTCGCCACTGATGAAGAACATGAAGAAGAATCTGTTGTCGTCTTTCCTGCAGAGCGTGAGACTGAAGAGGAAGGTGAAGCTGCTGCAGAGGAGACGACACCAGAAGAGTCACCTGGAGATGATCTGGTTGTCCTTGTTCCTTTGAATCCAGGTGAGGAAGATCTGGAACAGGAGCTTCTAGAAGAATCGGTCCTCGTAGATTCTCCAGAAGAACCAGAAGAAGAAGCAGCTGCTCCTGAAACTGACAGCGTTGCTCAGGAGGTTCCTGTGCCAGTAGCTGTGGAGGAAGACACCGAAGAAGATCCTGCAACTAATGAAGAAACTCTCCCAAGTTCTCCAGAAGAAGACGAATCTCTTGTCCTCGTTCCAGTAGAGCCTGAGACAGAAGGTGAGGAGCAGGTAGAACCAGTCCCAGAAGAACCTGCTGTCATAGTTGTTGTTGTTGAACCAACTGACGAGGAACCAGCTCCAGAGGATGCAGTCCTCATAACTCCCCTCGAAGATCCAGGAGAGGACGGTCCAGAGGAACACACAGCAGAAGAGGAAGAAGTCGTTCCATCAGATCCTCTGCCAGAGGAACCGGCCCAAGAAGAGGAGACATCAGAGGATCCAGTCATACTTACTGTACCTGTCACCGAGTCCACAGACGAGGCTGTGACCTTGGAGGAAGCATCGGATCCTGTTGAGGACGTCCCAGCAGCTCCAACAGAGATCATCACTGAGGCTGAACCTGTCACCGGTGCTGATGGAGGAAACCAAACCGTCCCTGCTGCCGTGGAGGCTGGAAACCACAACCACAGTCACATCCGGCTGCGTGGAGACGACTTTATAGCTGCTGTGACACTGATAGAAGACGAGCCCGTCGGTAAGAACCCAGCGCAGAGCTGCTGTCAACACATTTGTTTAAATGATTGTCTCTCTGCGACACTTTCTTCTTCTCTCATCGGCCCACTAACCTGAAAAGATCGAATCTGTCTTCTCTGCGTTCAGGCAGGATGTGATCACGACCACTTGTAGAGACATTTAAATCTTCATTTTGTCTCCCAGTTCTCCTGAACAGAGGGGCGGTGCTCGGAGCAGCGTTCTTCACACTCATGTCTTTCATCGTGGTTGGATTCGTCGGGATGGCGATATCAAAGAAGCTCCGGTGAATCCGTGTGAGTACGGCGACGACACCAGAGCTACCGTTTGAATCCACGACTGTTAGCAAATAGTTTGGTGTTAAAATTACATCAGAAAACCTGCCCTCAAAGCTCAGTGTGTGAAATATTAATCACTTCAAAACCAACATCAAAGATGGAGAAAAAAAAGCTCTCTGGTATTATTTATCAGGAGTTTTACAGTGTTTACAGCTAGTGGGTCCTTCAGCTGAACCGTAGATCAGCTGCTGACAGGGACGATTAACTGCTGATGGTTTGCAGGTAATTTTGCCTCATTCACCGTCTTTGTTCAGCCTGTTGAGCACAGCTGAGGCTACTGGAGAAGTGTTTCAGACTGACAGCACTATCTGGCCCTGTAACTTCCACCTACAACTCTTTCTCCTGTTGTAGGACCCTGAAGTGAAGGTGGAGCAGCTGTTTGGGGAGCAGCAGAAGCACCGAGCAGAACAGGTTTTACTGAACTGGATCTTGGCTGAAGCAGAGTCCCCTGAAGGAGACGCTCACACGGCGAGGTTTGGACAAAAGTGCATCTTTTCCACCAACGAAGCGAACATGTGACGTGTTTGTTTTGTGTCTGAGCCGGTGCTGCAGGAGGCGCCGGGCTGAGATGTTAACGGTACATTAATGAGATTAGAGTCTGCTAACGGCACAAAGCCTGAGTTCAGGTGTCACCACAGTCAATATGCAGCAAAACGTACTTAAAGTATGAAAATGTTCATTCAGCAGGAGAATGATTAACGCATTGTTGTTGATTGAAGTGGAGCTATTTTCAGCTGTTATAAAAGTATGTGACTTTGAACACCGCTGGCTTGTTGAAACTCTGACAATACGTGGACTTTAATGGTGCAATTATATGTGTTGAATGAAATCTTAGTTTATAAAGTAGCTGTGAAAGAAGGTTTCCCTCTGAGATGTGGATGCTGACCGCTACAGGAGCGCTGAGCTACATGAACAGGAGACAAACTGAAGCAGAACATGTGGATCCGTCTGTGTGACATTAACGTGATGAACTTCACTGAATGTGCTCCAAACAGCTGACGTATGTTTACAGGAAGTCATCAGGAACGCTTTCAGATTAAAACTCACCAACAATGAAAACTTGTTGAGCCTCCTGACCGGCGCTCATTAAAACAGCTTCACTGTCCTGATGGTGAATATTTTCTGTGATTCTCTGATAAAACTGTCTGTTCAGCTTTTCACCATCCAGTGTTCTGCACAGAACGTCCAGTCCCGCTGCAGGGCCCGTGATGAGACATAGTGTACACGGCAGCAGCAGCCCACATGTCCTACATACTGTTTAGGAGGCCTATCACTTTCCTGCTCCGTCCTGCAGCCGCAGAGGTCTCCTATTAATCACACTCTGACATGCTGCAGCTCCAGCTACATGTGCACGGCTCATCCTGCACACAGTAAATATTTTTAGGATGGCGGAGGGGACACTGTGTTCCAATTAAACGCTTCAAACTGTGCTCCACATTAAAATTGCATATCCCATCATAACCGCTGCCTGCTTTTAATTGCATTTGTTTTAAGGGGCCTGTATGAAATAAATGCTCATTTAAAAGACCTCTTACAGAGTTTACTTATTTATTTATTTATCTGCAAGTTCACAACAGTCACAGCTTCCTTTTCAAAAGAACAAACATCATCTAGATGTTAAGATTACGCAACAAATCAACGATTACAATATTTTTATGTTGGCAAGTGAGACTTTATATACGAATGTGGAGCCACACTAATAAACCAGCCTGGACGATGTTTACTGATCTCAGCTGTATATTATCATCCATGTATATGCAAACTAGTAAATTATAAATTAGGCTGCAGGGAACATTTGGAGTCCCTCGTTTGTCCACCACAGGTCTCTGTTTTAGCTGCATGCTGCTCACACAAAATGCAAATGAGGAAGTTGCATCAAAGTTGTTTGGCATGTGTCTATGTTGGTAAAAAAATAAAAAGTCTGACATTTTAAACCTGCAAATATCAGTTTGTGCATCTGCTTTAAAATTCTAAAATGTTGTGTTCTAATAAAAATGTTAATTAAAGCTTCAGCGACTGTTTGTGCAAACCTGCTGCACATATCTCATGATCCATCATCATCTACACCTTAATCCTCACTAGAGGGGCGGAGCCTATCCCAGCTGACTCAGGGTGAAGGCAGGTTCACCTGGACAGGTAACCAGTCTATCACAGGGCTACACTTAGAGACAGACAACCAAGCACACTCACATTCACACCTACGGACAATTTACAATCACCAATTAACCTCAGCATGTTTGTGGACTGTGGGAGGAAGCCGGAGAACCCGGAGAGAACCCACGCTGCACGGGGAGAACATGGAGACTCCACGCAGGAAGATCCCGGGTGTCCTCACCGGGACGCCAACCGGCGACCTTCTAGCTGGGAGGCCACGGTGCTAACCACTGAGACACCGTGCAGCCCATATATCTCATTGTGTTTAACTAAATCACACGTCTGTGGTTTGTGTGAAAACTGGGATGAAACGTCTGTTTTTAAGAACAAATTGTCGTCATGTGTGTGAGCTTTGCTGTGGTTCTGGATCCAGAGTCGGTCTCTCATGTTAATAAACTGATAAATGCATCAGAAGTCTGTTCAGTTCTTCAGTGATTCCTCCTGGTTCTGTGTCACATCTGTCCTCCTCTGTAGGTCTCAGTGTGTCTGTCTGAATGTTAATGTGAACACTTTATGGGCACCAGGGCTTAAAACAGTCATAAAAAGCAGCAGAAATTAGCGATTCATTGTGCGGCTGCTGAGGTGAGAGCTTGTGAAGAAAGGAGTCAGCACGTCTGATGAAGGCACTGAGGTCACAGGATGAGACGAGGTGAGGACGTGAATGATTTACAGCATGATCCGTCCTGTGGAACTGCATTTCTGGGATACTTTAGAACTAATACAGCAGTAAAACTCCAAGGACGGGATGTAATTAATGTAGAAACCGTGGCCAGGTGCCCTCAGGTGTACCCGACCGTGGAGGGAGAACCTGCTTGGGTGTGTGTCCTGATACGACAGAGACATGGAGAGCAGATCATTAGCAGGAGGTCAGCGCTGCCACCTTTAACACACGCCTACATCCGACCCACTCTGCTGCTGGCTTCCTCTTAGTGTCAGAATCTCCATGAACCAAACCAGAGCTCACACATCTGTTCACGACTTCTACAACCCATCCAGGACTTCCTGCTCAACCCGGTTCTAACCAGGGTTCTAAACATGGTTCTAACTAGTCACTGCAGACTTTGACCGGACGCTGCTGCCTGTTTGTGGTGTCACAGCGGCCTCTAGTGGCCACAGGCTCCCCTGTCGGGCTGATGGCTGTCATGCTTACCTGAGGTGCCCTTTCACAGCCACTATGATGACTATCTATGGGAAGTCTATATATGGCAGGTTGCAGTGCAGCCTAACAGGATCCACACCTGCTGGAACCTTCTCACACCTGCTGGCCGTGCTTTAGAAGTGAAAGCACATGAAGACAGGCCTGTGTTGTTGTGTTCAGTGGATGGTTTAGTATTTTCTTTAGAAGGCAGAGCTTCCTGATGAGGACACTGTGAGGTTTAAACTGTCAGACATTAGATTTGCTCCACACCGTGTGCAGCTTTAGCATCTCTGATTGTTTCAGGAACATCGTGGATGATTTCCAAGAATGTTTTCTGATGCTATTAGAATTTTACGTTTATTCATTTTGATCTGGTGCTTCAACTACGTATCTGGTTATTAATAAACTAGGTGGGGTGGCGCTGTAGCTCACCTGGTTGAGCTGACATCTCATGCTCAGAGGCTACAGTCCCCAACACAGAGGTCATGAGTCTGAGTCCTGCTCATGGCTCCTTCCTGCAGGTCCTTCCCTCATCCTTCTCCCTCACTTTCCTGTCTCTCTCCATCGACTGTACTTTCAAATAAAGGCCAAAAAAATAACTTTAAAAAAACCCAAAACAATAAAACAAACTGTGAGTGTACAAGCCTACATCACATATTAGGTTTACTACTCAAAGTGATTATTGGCATAGATTTTCTAAATCATGAAACCCTGGAGAGGATTTGTTCCAGTTCAGTTCAATTTAACTTATTTTCATGTCACTGATTCCAAACTTCAGTCCTCTGATGGTGCTTCACGTCGCAAAGCTAAAACCTTAAAGTATTATATGATAGAGAATAA